CTATCTAGTCAAGACACACACATCCATTTCAGAGAAAAAGAAGAAAAAAAGTTCCTACATTTTCCAAGATTCTATCAACACACACATCTGCTTCTAGGGACACAGATTGGACAGAGGTCCAGAAAAATCCAAGAACACATGCATATGGATGTGTTATAGTTTACAAGTAAATTTCAAAGATACTTTGAGAAGCAGCTGTAGGTTCCTGGGAGGATTCTAAATACTGCGTAATAAATTAGCACGTGAAAAGGACTAGGTATTCCTAACAGCAATCAAAATACTTGAAGTTCAAGCTGTTTTTAAGTAAACACTTTTTAAGTTCCCTTATTCCAATTCTATCTAATTTAAACTAATTTAGCATTTCTTATGTGTAGCAATTTTTCAAACTGCCTATGTAACAACTCTCAGTGAGAAAGCCTAATTACATAGTATGTTCCCACTTTATTAATGTCTTTCTCCCAGAAAAGAGTGATGCTCACAGAAGCCTCATCTTTTCAATTTCTCAGATCAGTTCAGAAAGCAAATCAAATTATTAGGACCTTATCTTCACAAATATCTACTCGGCTGCCAATTTAAGCAATAACTTGGAAGAAAGTGATGGGGAAAAGATTCACCCATGGGAGCTCTGCTTACAGACTCTCTTCTCCAGATAAATCAGATTCCATTCAGTGAGAAGACGTCATCTGACAGTACATGAATGAAGTGCAAATTGAGTTTCTAAAGTCTATGCCAACTTTAGGTATTATTTTGGAACTGCAACTCTCAACTAAGTTCAGTGCTAGGATGCATTTCCCAAATGATGTCTGAAACAGTCTAAAAAGCTGCTAAAAATACTGCTAATTCAGGCCTGTAACTCTGACACTGAGAAGCAACATAGGCAGAAGATCTACCTATCTATCTAACTATATATAATTTTTTAGCAAATGAGACTTCACTGAGAATATTTCAGTATGTAGGAATTGCCTAGCCCAATTCAGTCAGTTAGAACTTTTTGTCTCTACTGAAACAAAATGGTGATAAAAATCATAAGGCTTCCTGAAGAAGTGGAAGAAAACACCAATAAGTTTCTCCAAAAAGTTTTATAACGAGACTTTTGGGAAACTGAGTTGAAGGAAAATTTAAAGCAGTAACTAACACAATTGGTTAGTTATGATATGTAAAGATATGTTTTACTTGCATTAAATATTGCCATTTCATTTGATGCAAGTGATTTTAGCAAACATATCCAAAGATTGCACCTCCACCAAGCATAAGCATTAGATAATTATATCTTAGCATCACTGCAAAGTATATGAAAAAAAAAATTAAAAAAAGAAAATATAGCATAACAATTATAAAATGTAAATAAGTAATTGGTGGTTTTGATATTAGCTTTACAATTCCTTTTTTATTATTTTTATATGAGGATTATAATAAGATCATAGAGGGATACTGTACCACGTAAATAATATGGTTTATTTTTTTCATATGCTTTTATCACATTCTTATTATTTAGAAGGGTACAGGAAGAATCAAAGATGCTTTATAAAAATACATGCAGACAAACAGACTGCAGTTTGTTTACTTTATGTTAAGCTAATTCAAAAAGGCTATTAAAAGAGTGGATTTATTGCCAGATCTCCCCAGCCACATTGCTAGGACTGACACAGATGAAAATTTAATGGATAGTTAGTTTGGAACTAATTTTCAGCTGGTTCAGCTGCCTGATTCAGATTAATTCAGTCACAGATGCTAGTATCAGCACTAGGAACATACAGGGGAGCAATCAATTCTTGTCAAGAAAACTGCAAAAAGATTACGTTTGGACAATTTAATAAGCTTTCTTCACTCCTCAGTGAGTAAGGGTCTTCTTGAGGTTGTTCCTTTTCTCACAACCAGCTGACCACCCTGTGCTTCCCTTTGAATTAAGTTAAAGGCAGACTGTCACCTCTTTGAGCATATCAGAGTTTTAGCCTCTTGCATTTTTAGGTTTCTTTGTCCTCCATCTCTAGTTCATCATACTGCCTCATTTCCTCATTCAGTTCTACATGCCCTAAATAAAATATATATTCTAACATTCAATACATTTTTTTGGTTTATTCCTCCTTCCATCAGTGTCCAGTAGCCCATCAATAAGCTTTCTTTTCAAATTAAATTTTCATCTTCTCCATATTTTTCCCCATGATCTGTAGCTGAAAATTTTAACTTTGTTTTCATCCTTTTACTTACAAAGTAGATTTCTACTTACTAGTTTCACCCGCAGCATGTATTAATAATCTCTGTTTTAAATGGATATTAAATAACCCAGCAATACACAGCCTTCACATTTGTGTAGAAATAATGGAACACTTCTTCCTTGTCATGTTCCAGAAGTCTGCTATCAGCAATAATACTCTATTCATTTCACTGAATTACTAATATGAATGTGAGGACATACATGTTTTTATTCAAATAATTACTTTCTTGCTGCTTCTGTTGACAGGACTTCAAATTCATGTTCTTATCCTGTGATTCTAAACAATTTATTATGTCTACTTTGATACAAAAGCCTTAAGCATACCCTATTTACACACAAAAACCTCCAGGATTCTCAAGCTATTTGATATTGTTGAGTTTTCACTGACGATTTTTCTCACTGATCTTCTTAAACTAATGAGAAAATAGAGCATAGACAAGCAAATTTAAAATGCTGCTCAAAAGAATTCATGTTCTACTATTAAACTGAAGCCTACATTTTAAAATACAAATGGGAAAAAAAAAAAATCGAGTCAAGAATCTGTCATATAATCTCAATTCTAGTTGTTGAGAAATGTACCATCCAATATCCATGAATTAGAACAACCAAACGTCATGGTCTCACCTAATCTCTTATTCAGAAAATCTGTAATTAAGTATTTACACATTATATGCTATCTTTCCTAAATCTACCAAGAAAAAAACAGTTAATGTTAAACTTAGTAAATTTAAGACCTGTTGATATCTTTGTTAGCCCGCTTTCCCTTGTAAAGGCAACACAGTAACATTTTATTTGCAAATGTCTCTAGGTAACACTTTCATGCCTTATTAATTTTCAAGCAACCTAATACTGACAAATGTCTAGTAATGCCAAACACTAACATGGCCTCGTTACCCAGCAAAGAATGTACTTACCTTACTGAAAGTTGTCGATAAAACAGAAATACGAGCAGTACCACAGAAAAACTAAGTGTGATAACATTTAAGTGTGCTAATCTGAAACCTAAGAAATGCTAACCTGAAAGTGCTATAAACTGTGACATGTTTATTCATCTAACAGTGGCAATAGGAATGAAAATTATAAGACTTGTACTGAGCCTATCAGTCATACAAAGGAGACTGATTTGAACATGTGACAAAAGAACAAAAGGAAATACTTTTCATTATCTGTTTAGAGGATCACATTCAAACAAATGAAGAAGGCAACTGCAGATATATTAACCAGAATTTTTTCTCCAACATGAAAGTTTTCTTCCTCCCCCCCCCAAAAAAAAGAACATAATTTTCTACTGGCTTGACTCTAAATCCTGAAATGTAATGACATTTCAATTTATTTCAGAGAAAATTCTAGGCAAAATAAAAAAACAGGAACAAGACAAAAGCTATTGATAAAAAAAAACAGATTGAAAAGTTCTCAATTACTGCATTGAAAATATGGAGTTACTGACAGTTTATTGTCTAATCAAGTCATATGATACCTAGGAATCCAAGTTTAAAGCAAAACACAGCAACAGCATGGAGAGAGAGAGATCCTGCTCTATTTGAAATAACCTACAAAAAGAAGGAAGTTAAGTAAACACACAGATTATGAAGGAAGAAAGAAGAGAAAAGTAGGTGTCATGCACAGTCACTTTACTCACCTCAATCATTTTGGAGAGATATTTTTATTTACCAGAACTGGAAACAAGGTCAATCTTTATAAAGAGTACATTCAAAGCAAATTTTGCTTAGCTTGTAATCTGCCAAGCTATTACCTTGAACAAGACTGAAATTTGTTAACTCAAGGGTTTATTTTTCTGAATATAAAAATATTTATGTTGGTATGGTAAAATGAAAATAACAGGTGAAAATTAGGTAAGTGCTCTTAAGGCTGGCAGCATTTGAGGAATCCTTGAAATTTCTCAAAATAATGTATTTAATTTTTACAAACACATTTAAGTGATAAAGGAACTGGCAGTTCAGTTTCAAAATGAATCTGAGATGCTATTCCCATTTAAGATGTACATTGTGTTCCTTGTTTTTAACTTCAAAAAACATAGCTCAATATGTACAATTAATGAAAAAGTTCATTACAAAGAAGAAACAGAATTACTTTGTAAGTGAAAATGTAAATTCAATTTCAAAGATGAATGCTCTATTAAGACTTTCCTGTGTTTTAAACAAACTATGGACAATCTGCAATGTATCTGTGATGCATATGCATCTACAGATTATATTGAAGAGAAAAAAAACCTGAAGGAAGTGCAACATTCCCATTATTGTTGCATAGACAAAATTATGTCAGATTACATAGAAGCAGAATTTCTTTTCTTAGCACAGGTACAACAAATTAATGCTTCGTAAGTGATTCAGGGGAACTGTAAATATGCTTTACAATGTCCTTTGTGTGGTATTTGACAATTCTCATTCTATCCAACTAAGTTCAGTTTTAATTGATGCGTTTTTCATTTACATTACTGATTTTTTTAAAATACATCATAGTATGTCTCAGCTGTTTATATAATAATCATTTGTTCTATTATTAGAGTACACATAGTTACTTTTATAACAGAAATTATTTCATAAATAAGGATCAATTTCTGAACAGAATAAGATTCACTTGGGACTTGTTACAGCTGTTGTATAGGCTTTTATATATAAAAGGGATTTCTTCCTCTACAATATATCAAATGATCACCAAGTCCAAGCTTTAGATTTTTTTTTTTTTTTTTCTCCTGTAAACAATGAATATCCATAATCCTATTTTATATTTTAGGAATTCAAAGGTCACTGTAGTTTCAGAACTACTTTTGAGTCTTCTAAAGGAGCATCGTAAACACAGCTATATCAAGTAACTACATTATTTCCCAGGTTAGATTTTCCAAAGTTCTGGTCTATAAAAATATCCAGCTCTTGCCAATGTAGTCAGTTTTAAACACAACTGCTTTGTTAGTAAGCGCATACACCAGAATAGACTTACATCAGTTATAGTGTTCAGAGCAGTATCTGCACCAATGCTGAAATCTGAACCCGGTACATTGTTGGATACTGTTGCAGGAACCATAACCATTGGAACACAGAATTCATCATATTTCTCTCGGGCAGCTGACAATTCCAAAAGTCCGAGGTACGCCTGGTGGGCACAGGCATTGGGTGAAAAATTAGGATGAATACAATAAGGGCAAGGTTAAAATGATAAAATGGAACAGGCCACAGGGAGAGCCATTTCTACCACGACACACTTCAGCAAGTCAAAACTGTAAGGATTCACTAAAATATGATACACACAAACAAATAGGGTTAAAAATACGTACACATTTGAAAATAAAAAACAAACAGAGCACTCAAACAAATACATAATTCTGACATAACAAAGTTGCTTTGCACAACACAAAAATACTGCATAATAGATAGTTCCCCAGTCTTCAGGTACTCCTCATTTGAAATCTTAACTATTCTTCTACAATATAAACATCCAACAGAGTGGGAAAATAATAAATGATGATTCATTCCTTAGGAAAAAGCATTTAAGCACATTCTCCTCTACAAACAGTTGACTAATAAATACACTGCGGAAATATGACCACTCCTAATGGTACCATTTTGGTAATATGTGATCAACATGAAATATAGGGGCAAAGAAGGGGAAGGAGGGGAAAATATAAATTGTAGATTTTGAAACGCATTATGTGAAAAGCATGCCTTAAGTAAAAGTCCATAGTATAATTACTACTGCAGCTCAATAACTTTATGAATACTGTTCTAAGTATTGATACAGATGGGAAAACTGCTGTTTTTGTGGGTTTTTTAAATATAAAATAGCATAATTCAATATCACCTAATTTATCATTCAGTGTATCTTGCTTTGCAGTTACTGGTTGTTGCCTAAGATGTCAGCTTCCCACAAAAACAATCAGTGATAATAAAATTGCTGATCCAAAACATTATTCAAGTTTTTTATAAAACAGTTATAAACAAATTCATTTTACATGAAGATTGATTGGGTTAAAAGTCTTTTTTTTTTTTTTTTGACAGGAAACGCATTCTACTTAGACATAAGTTTAATCTTTAGTGTACCTCAAATCCACCAATAACCATAAGAGCATTAATGTTGTTAGTGCGCATCTGGTCAGCAATCTTCTCCAAATATTTTGCAGGAAGAGTACTGAAAATTATTAAACCAAAAGAAAAAATAAAAACACTTCACAAACACTGCAGCAATAAGAATTGGTTATTAAGCATTAACAGTAAATATAAGGAATAAAATATTTTTTTCATATTTTATCCACAGAAATACTTCTTTCCTGACTTGCTGATGAGTAAGGAATCATGTTCAGGAATCATGAGGAGAATACAGGTTGTTAATCCTCCTAAGAATTAAGAACCTTAGTGAATCTTTCAGATGAGGTCCCAACTCCCATTTTCATTCTCTTTTCAGAGTTGGTACAGTACTATCAGGATACCAAAATTTGAATTTAAAATTTTAAAAAAAATCATTACTTTTTAAAAAATAAAAGATTTAAAACACTCAGTGAAAGGGAAAAAAAACATTGAACTATACACAAGTTATAACATACTAGAATTCAACACAGCAATAGGGAAAATATTGCCATTACCGTTTGGTACCAAGAATTGATCCTCCTTGACCAGTCCAGCCTCCAACATCTCCCCAGCTGATTTCCTTGATCTTTAAATTAAAACAAAATAGGAGATTATGTTAAGTGATTATTCAGTTACTTCTGGCATGTAACAAACAACAGGCACTAAATGTAAAGTTGCTGAAGCAAGTTGTAGGGCACTTTGGCAGCACCAAAAATGAAATTGGCAATAATAGAAAACAATAAAGAGGTTAACTTAAGTTCTCTTGATTTCTTACCAGGCTCTTCCCATTCTATTTGTTCTCTCCTTCTCCAGACCATGATAATCCCTGCCCCCTTGTTTCATATGATCCTGTTTTCACATTCACTTTTAATGAACATGAAACACAAGCATCCAAAACTAGCTTTTTTTATATTAGTTTTGGGATATATGGCTCCAGCTGGGCAGTAAAAAAAAGGAAAATCACTGAACTAATTTCATAGCTCTTTAGCAAGTAAATAGTAGCACTTAATATAAATGAATCTATAGGCTCAAATAGATGATGAACAAGGATACAATCTGGTTTTAGGAAGTTATGAAATAAAAGAACTTCAAGAATCACTTCTCATGAAAGTGCCACAGAAGACAACTTCCACATGAACAAAGTGGTAGAGTGGGATGGGATACACAATATACTGACCTTCCCTCTAGCAAAACCTTCAAACCCATCAATGACAGCAAACATTTTATGGCCTTCAGTTATGCCAACTCTCACTGCAGCCCTCACTGCAGCATTCATTCCAGCTGCAGGCGCACCAACATTTAAAACTGCCACATTAAAATTGGTCTGCAAAAGAAAAACAACAAATTTGAATAAGGAATTCCATTTCTACACGATATTCTGTTTTTTCATCATACATAGATGTTAAATATTGGAATATATGAAAGGAAATTGCAAATCACCAAAAACCATAAAAAAATGTAAAGTCAGCAAGAACATACATAAATCTATTCTCCTCATTTGCACAACATCCTATAAGACTGTCGCATTTTCATTTAATTTGCAAGTGGTTAATTCAGAATTCTGTAGCCTGGCTCAGCTAAATTCAAGAAAAATATACAAAACTGCCTAAACTATTCAACCTCTTTCATATTCCCACTCAAGTTTTCCAATATACAACCAGAATATCCCAGAAAAGAATAAGAACTGATTTTGTTCATTCTAGCACCATAACCGTTAGGCATATGTAATCAGTAAAGATGCACAGTGGCAACTTTTAAATTAGAAGAACCAGCCTGACTTCTAGAGCAGCTGAAGTATAGCAGGAAACAAGATTGTTCAGCATCTTGATATATTTTCAGATTATGACAGATTTTAAAGCATTACTTAATGATTCACAATTGATTATCTACATATACTGTCATCCCCTCTTGCAAGTTTAATAGGTGTTCCATGTAAATGTCTATCCCATTCAAATGGAGAAGTATGATACAACAAGTACATATTTTTAATCTAAAATACAAATAATGTAAGAGAGAAGGTTCTGCTTAAAAACAAAAGTAATAAATATTTTGCTACATAACGTATGTGAGCATTTAGTCTCCTTTTGTATTTGTTAGTTATCAACTGCATTCCAGATAAAACAACTGTGTAAATGGATGTAAGCACTGTTGACTGAGCAATAGAGGTGACTATATTCATGAAACCTAGTGACAAAATAGAATGTTAAAAATCTGTCTTGTTGCAACAGACACAATTCTAAGAGTTCTAAGAATTTTCAAATTAAGAACTCTTTTTGTAATGGATTTACATTGCCATGCAATAAATCCAAGACCATTCAGACCACAGATATTTCCCAAAGGGAAAAAAAAACAAACAAACAAATCAGTACTTCCATTACAAATGAAAATAAGCACATATAGAATTGCTTTGTAAGGGTAAACAAAACACAGGTAAACAAACAAGGGTACTATACATGAGTAAAATTCTAGCAAGCATCTTTGGACTTAATTTGAACTGTAAAATGTGAAATGTCATACTTCTTCACATGAAGAAGCATTACTTGAAATATAAAACATTACCAGTTAAATCACAGACCACTGCCTCCGATTAAGAAAAGGTCAGACAATAAGAATCACTGACACCCAAAATGAATTATATTTTTATTGTGTATAAATAAGCATCTATTTAAATCTGAGGAAGACACTATAATTTATCTATTCTGTTTTATACTTACAACTTTAAAATTAATACTGAGAGCAAAACATAAGTAAGGAATTAAAACTTGACATGCCTGACCTTTTAGTAAACATGCTTAGCAAAACAGAACTTACATGATATCAAACTACGCAAGAAAAATGCAAGAAAATCTGACAGCCTGTGCTTATATACTGAAATTCGTCATGCTTCACACCAATTGAACAATGTTAATTTTTTAAATAATCATTAACATGACAAATTTGTAGCAATTTACTATTGGAGAAGATCTAAAAGTTACTTGCTTTACTCTGCAATATGGGAACACAAAACAAAAACAAACACATAAAACAACAAACAGACAGCAGTAGTTAAACAACAATCAGACAAACAAAAAGAAATAAAAGAATGTATGCTCTTTGTTTTGTTTATTTTAAACTTCAATACAACCAAAGGACTGTAAAAAAGGCAAAGGAAGCATATGAATAAAATATTTGTACACAGCAACCCAGCTGAAGCAGAGCATACAGCAGGCTCTGGTGATGATCAGCTAAGCCTTTTCCTCAACAGTTTATCTGCTTTTTAATTCCCCTCCAACTCCTTTTAGTGAAGCACATGGATCTGGATGGTGTGATCAAATCCAAATACTTGCTATTTATTCCAAATGACCTACAAACTCCTTCTAGTGTCATCCATCATTAAAGAACATAGCAAAACTACTGTAAAACAAAGCAGGCCCTTGTTCATCACTGGCAGAAATGCATAGCTAATGGTAGTGACTATGCTGAAAGACAGTGTTCCGTAGTTGAAAATTTGTTCTATCAAATAGCATTTATGGTGCTACACTGTTACTGCATTATTTATTGAGATAAATAGAAGGAAACATTTTCACAGTGATGTCTCTTTTTTTTTTTTTTTTTTTTAAGTCAGTAATTATTTTAACTAAACTGTTTGTTACAAGCATTTTTTCTGCCAATATAATAATTAACTAATTTTATAAAATATCCTACAGCAAAAATTCGAAGACAGCACTAAGGGAGTGGGAGAAAAAAAGTTGATTTGTTATGAAAACCCAATGGCAGACAGGTATTGCACACATTAAAAACTCCTCACCTTTGGAAGCTCGGCATCTGGCTTTTTTTGTGACAGTAATTTGTAGGTGTTAAGGTTGTTTTCAAAGCTCCTAAATAATGAATAGATAAAATAAACATTACAAAGTTTTTGAATATATAGTTATTTTCAAGGAAATATTGAACTTTTTCCTAAGCTGTCAGAAAGCATCCCAACTTAAAAGATACGTTTTTAAGATTGTATATCCTATATATAATAATATATACTTATTTACTAACATGTAAGTATATATACCGTAGGAAAACTAACAGCTGCTTACAAACATACTCATCTTAAACAGGTTTGGTTTCAAAACCCTGAATAAACAGGCATATGGTTGCAATCAGCCAGCTCATACACAACAGCAGCTCTTTTTTCTGTAACGACTTATCTTAATATCAGTCTTTAGGACTGTTTTCTTTGGTGTGTGTGGTGTTTTTTATTTATTTATTTATTTATTTTGCTTGTTTATTTTAAACACAGATAAGAGTTTCAATTATTGTTTTAAGCAACTCTTCCTTTGTCTTCTAAATACACAAAAACAGATGAAAATTAAATTATGTAAAATAAAATAAATTGTTGGCAGAACTGCAGAAAAATGTAGCATTTTCTAGAGAAAATAAACTGATATGAGTGGCAATACCTCCCACGAAGCCTCACAGCCTCAACAAATCTTCCTTCATCCATGGCTTTCTGTACTTCTTGAGTCTTGAAAGAACAATTTTATTATTAAACATGTTTGAAAAACACAGAAAGTTATTCATCTAATATTTCTGTAAACAGACCTTCTGAAATAGCTTTCTAAAGGGAAAAAAAATATGAAAATTTGGTATTTCAAACATAAAATATCAAAAACTACAAGATTGGGGTAGGTGGCTGGAAAGCTGTGTGGAGGAAAAGGATCTGGGGGCATTGGTCAACACTAGGGGTGCCAGTAGTGTACCCAGATGACGAAGGCCACAACCATCCTGGTTTGTATCAGAAATAATGTATTCAGCAGGACCAGGGAGGTGACCATCCCTCTGTACTCAGCTCTGGTGAGGCAGCACCTTGAGTACTGTTTTCAGCTGTGGGCCCCTAACTACAAGAAAGACATTGAGGCTCTGGAGAAGCCTGGTGAAGAGGAGGCTCAGGGGGGATGTCATTGCTCTCTACAAATCCCTGAAAGGAGGTTGTGGCAAGGTGAGCATCATCCTCAGAGTATACAGTGCTCTGTTATAGTTAATGAATAACTGTAAAATATATTTTTGCCAGAAACTCACCATCTGCACACACTCCATCAAAGGCAGACGGACAGCTTGGTTTCCAGACAGAGACACAACACAGGCAGGAGTATCTGGAGTAGCTTCTAAAAGTGCAAGCACAGCTTCCACACCCATTCGGCTTGCCTAAAAATAAAATATGTTCTAGTGTTCAAGCAAGCATTTAAAAGCAAAAGGCTTCCAACCATAGAACTATTCAAGATTTCTCTGCAAATCAAGTTGAAACAACATATATTTTTCAGAAGTTGCAGCAGCCTGATACCATATCAGACTATAACACATGCAAGATTGTTCTTGCAGCTTTGCTTTTTAGCCCTACTGCAGATTTTTTTTTTTTATGCAGAGCTCTTCACCATTTTAAATTTGAGGTTTTCAGACAGTTAATTTGATACCTCCTTCACCCCAATAAAAATAAATAAATCAATCTACGCAGACGGCGTAGTTCAGCTTGTTAGTGTGAAGCTACTACAAATGATCAACCGTGAAAAAAGTAAAAACATACTATTTACTTCTACCATTTGGTGCCAAAACAAGGTTCACTCACCAAAATTCTATCAAAAGCTGAAGGAGTTCCACCTCTTTGCACATGACCCAAGATAGTCACTCGGGTGTCAAATCCAAGCCGCTGAACCACAAGCTGCAAAGAATTTCAAAATGGAATGGTTTTATTAGTGTAACTACTTTATATGTTCATTCATTACTCTGTTTCAAGTGTTACTGTAATAATAAAAAACTCACATACTGTCCATTTTTAATATGTCAACTTTTGTAGCATTTTCATTACTGTAATGTGAGATTTTATTTTTTTCCTAAACTAGAATTAAACTCCAGGTTCCAAATCTAAAAGCGCATCTTATTTAATAATGGCAAACCAATTTCTTAAATTGCAATACTACAACTATATATGCCTGTAATTACTGATTTGAGAAGATTTCCAGATTCAGTATCAATATATACAATAATGAAATGTTTTGAACTGCTGCCTGACCTTATGAAAAGGTCCTAATTAACAGCCACTGAAATCATTTCCCTTTAAATGTAATTTGGATAAGAAAGTACAAATATAAAATACAACCAGCAATACGTCTAAGAATTTGTTTTACATGGACTGCTCTTGCTTTAAAGTGTAACCAGCAGGACAAGGGAAGTGATTCTGCCCCTCTACTCTGCTCTCTTGAGATACCACCTGGAGTACTGCATCCAGCTTAGGCTCCCAAAACAAGAAGGACATGGAGCTGTTGGAGCAGGTCCAGAGGAGGGCCATGAAGATGATCAGAGTGTTGGAGCACTTCCCCTACAAGGACAGGCTGAGAGAGCTTGGGCTCTTCAGCCTGGAGAAGGCTCCAAGGAAATGTTATGGTGGCCTTCCAGTACCTGAAGGGGGCCTACAGGAAAGTTGAGGAGGGACTTTCTATAAGGGCAGGTAGTGACAGAATGAGGGGAAATGCAGTTAAATTGGAAGAGGGTACATTTAGACTAGATATCAGAAAAATTCTTTACTGTGAGGGTCTGGAACAGGTTGCTCGGTGGGGCTGTGAATAGCCCCTCCCTGGAAGCATTCAAGGCCAGGATGGACAGGGCTTTGAGCAACCTGGTCTAAAGGGCGATGTCCCTACCTATAGCAAGGGGGTGGAACTAGATGATCTTAAAGGTCCCTTCCAATCCAAAACATTCTATGGTTCTATGATCAATTTACATTATAGAAATACTACTGTTAGTAAAAAACTCCCTATTATGAACAAACAGAAAGTGCATCTTAAGGATATTGACACTTACATCCTTAACCTTCTCTGATGTTATAGGTTTGTTGTGGCAATCAATAGCGCCTTCAGCTACGATAATAATATTCAGCCTTTTCTTTCGTGCACGGTTCTACAGTAAAAACAAAAGCACAGCCATAAGCAAAACAAACAAACAAAAAAACCCAAAAAACACAAATCACAGCACAATGTAATTAAAAGCAATTATTATACATTAAGAAATATTCCCTCTCTTTCCAGTTTACACTTGATCACTTCAGAGTTTTTGTATGTTTCATTTTCATACAAGACTTTTCATTGATGAACTGAAATATCTTCTATCAAATGAATAAAGAAAGGTACTGAAAGGTCTGATTACATTGCCAGATCACTGTGTATCTGCAAAAAGTCAAAACACAATAATACATTACCTCTGAAAGCTTAACACACATTGAATCCTCCCATCCTTCTTCTGGTGGGTATTCAGGAATAAATACCCAATCTGCACCACAAGCTAAGGCACTGACAAGAGCTAAATACCTAATAAATATAACAAAAATGATTAGACATTTATTGTTTAGATTTTTTTTAATCTTTCATAATTATATTTGTACAAAACACAAACTATTGAAGACAATACATACCCACAGTGTCTGCCCATAACCTCCAGAACAAATGTCCTCTGATGGCTATTAAAAAAAAAAAAAAAAAGTATGATAGAATAATTCACTGCAGCTCAGAAATCTAATCTAAATTCTTCAACAGCTGGTATCAAGTAACGGTCTCAGTTTGCCAGGTTGCCAAACACAGAATTAATTTGAAAAATAAAAGATCATATTGATTTATGTATTTAAACTGCATATCTTTCATAAACTAATTTGTTTTCATTACACTTTACTCTAAAATAAATAAAAGTAGTTAGGAGAGAAGAGGTGAACAACCTTTAGAAATGTAAGTGATGCAAAGACATAATTAAGAATTTTAAGGATACAACAACAGAACTTTCTAGTCTGTTTGGTTTTTAAGTGCATAAAAATATAATTTAATTGCTTAAGCTTTGCCTGAGGAAAGTTTACATACAAATGGATACAGCCTGAATCTTCTCTGGAATATTATGTCTAGGAAAGATTAAAAACATAAAAACCGAAGCCTTCTCCTAAAGCTGATATTGCCTCTACCATCAAATGCTTGTACTACTGCCACAATGGGAATGGTAGAAAAGCTGCAAAGAAACCAAGATATATATATTCACACTCAATAAATATTATGTATACCAGTTACCTAACATCTTAAGATGACTATATATCCTCTGTACAGCAATAGGAAACAAGATTTGAAGCATAACAATCACATACATATTACAGTTTTCTGTAACATGCACAATTTACCTTTGTGCAGTGGTCATGATGGCATCCACAACTTCAATGATTCTGTGCAAGGCTGAGTCAGTTCCTATGGTCATATCAGTGCCACAGAAGTCATTGTCTATAGACCCAACCATTCCCACAATGTTAAGGTAAGCATATTTCTTAACAGCCTCTTCATCAATCTTTCCTGTAAAAAATTACCCAGAGAAGGATCTGGATTAAGTTAGATTAAACTTAATAAAACTCAACATTATCAGACATATCGCTTGGCTGCTCTACAAATTAAACATATCCAAACATAACCGCTGTTTCATGTAACAAGGTTAGTCAAAAGCATAAAGGAAAACCAATGAAACAACCAACCAAAACAATCCTGTATTTAACTCATATTGGTAAGGAGGGAAACAAGAGCTTTTCAGTTCACTTCAAAGCGTTAACAGACTATCATGACTTATAATACCAAACTTAAAATTGATGGCTGGGATATAATAGCATTTAATTTGGAGTATCAGTGTCTGACATGCAATGAAGAAGCAAAATGATGCAAACTGGATGTGAGTGGACAAATGCAAGTAATCGTAACACCTCATTTACACTTTTGAGGACTTTTGCATCACTGAAAGGCTCTGATTTCATGATTAATAAGTAAATAGAACAGAAAAGCTCCTATTGGCATTTTTAGTATGCGTCTCCGCACGCCTAAGAGAAAATGCTGAATCACCCAAGAGTTCTAAAGGATCTCAAGGAAAAATTATCTTAGCTGCTTCAGTGCTTAGAACTACCTCAGTATCTGTGGAGGGGATCATAGCAAATGTAACAACAGATTTTTAATGTGAGATTCAAGACTATGGATTTATATGTTTGATGTCTATACCAAACAAAATATTAGAAATCATAACAGAAAATATAACTCATGTTCTTGCAGATAAATATAGCATTCTGAAGAAGAGTCAAAATGTTTTATATCAACATATGTAACATTTTACAAAGTGTTTCTAGTGTTCTACAAGTGAAATCACACAAATAAGGGGCATTTGGTTTACACAGTCTACCTAGATTACCTAAAAGCCAATGACAAGGTCCATCCCCAAAGGATTTAGGAAAAACTAAGAAGTCACTGCATGGAAGAGAAGGCTTTTGCATGGAATAAATTATATGAAACAAAGTGGAAAAAATAAAAAACAAAGATGTAGTAAATGCAGATTCTTGCATCAGAGGAAGGTAACCGATGGAGTACCATAGAGATCTGTACTGTTCAGTATATTCAGCAATAACCTAAAACAGGGAATGAGCAGAAAGTTGCCTGAGCTTACTGATCAAACTGAATTATTTGGGTTCTAAGGGTGTGGGAAGGCTGAAGAAATAAGGAAGACTAGTAAGACACAATGACCAGAGAAGTATCAGATGGACTTCACTGTAGATAAATGTGAACTAATCCACATGAAAAACATATCCTAACATCAAAAATAAAATAATGCTGTTTTCATTAATGAATCAGCACCAGTGACCAGTAGCAGTAAAGTAAAAAATAAAAATAAAAATAAAAATCTAAATATTAGGAAATATTAGGAAAATAACAGAAGAAAACAAAGATTGTTATACTACTGTGTAGATCCATGGTTTGCCCTCATCTTGAACACTGGGTGCAGCTCTGGTCCTCCTCACCTCAAAGAGGATATGGTAGAACTGGAAAAGGTTCAGAGAAGGGCAACAAAGATGATCATAGATACAGAACTTATATTATAAGGAACAACTAAGAAAGGACTCTTTCTTCTAGAAAAGAGATGAAAAAATACCACAGCTGTAAAGTCTCAACAGGCAAACAGAGAAATCAGGATTCATTATTCACCGCTTGTTCTAAGTCAAAAACTAGAAGACACCAAATGAAACTAGAAACCAGCAGGATCAAAATAAATAGGAGAAGATTCTTTGTAATCTTCACAAACTCCTCAAAACTGTAGAACTCATTACTACACAATGTGTTCAGCAAAAATCTGTATGCATTCAAGGAGACGGTATACATTCAGGGAAGAAAAATTTGTTAAAGGACTGATGACAACATCTGGTTCAGTAAGTCTCAAAGACAGAAATTGATGAAACCTAGGAAAAGAACTTAAATATTCTCAATAACATATAGCATCAGCACAGCATTACACAAGCCTGCACTGTGTACTTTTCACTAAACATTCTCTTGGATGCTATCAAAAATGGGCTGCATGCATTTTTACCAACAGACACAATGTTCTAATCTTAAACAAACAGAAGCATACAGGCAGGAAAACATCATAATTGAACAACATCCAAATGTGTAACTTGTAGGAAAGAAATTACCATCTCAGTTTGTATTTGAAGAAAAGGGGCTTTTCAAGTAGAAGGTTTAAAGTTCAGGCCCTGAAAATGGTTCATCATTGGGGAAAAACAAAAACAAAAACAAAAAACCCATACAGATAGTTGTCCAGTAGTTTATTTGGTCTTTCTCAATGCTTTCGGCGTACAGGAAAGGATGTACAGAAATCAAGAACTATTAAATTATGAAGGGATGCGTAATTATGTAGAACACATGCGTTTCATTTTTGAACACAAAAAATACCCTCTGAATATAGTTTGTGAATATGTAGTTACAGTATAAAACTTCTCTAAAGACTGAACTGTGAGTCTGGTGGGTTTTAACACAAACTTACCTTTCTGCGCTAGTTCTTCTAGAAGTCCACTCCATTCTTCACGGAACAGATTGGCACCAGTTAAGCTACCATCTCCACCAATCACACAAAGATTAGTGATTCCTCTCTTAACCAAGTTGCAGGCTGCCTGCAGGCGACCCTCCCGGGTACGAAAGGATTTGCAACGTGCACTACCAATGACTGTACCTCCCTAGAAAAAGGGAACATAAAGGGAACTTCGTTTAAATCCAGAATGTTACTGGATATTTTATTTGTTTTTAAGTTGCATTAATGGTGAGTAGTTACTTTGCAGCATAGCTGCCATTTTAATTCTACAGTGAATAAAAACTAATGAAAACAATTACCAAGCTCATGGGAAATTATGTTCTCATGAGTGGATACATACATCAGGGAAAAAAGAAACACTCAAAGATGACTGATAAAGAGCTACTCTTGAAACAAAATGTTAAATTATTTGGGATTAATTTTAGTAGCATTCCAATTAATTACCTAATATCTACTCATATGCGATAACAGAAGTAAATGATACTAAGTAGTCAAGATTCAGAAGAATTTGATCCAGCACAAATGTTTTTAATTAATGCCATGAAATCTATGAACAGGCACAAAAAAGATGTATATCCATCCCTAAGGCTCCAAATAAGCATTTACTGTGCCTCCACAGAACTTCTGAGAAGAACGTAGAGTTTTCTATTTCATTGATTTATATACTGCATACTCTAATCTGACTTAAAAAAAAAAAAAATCTTCCACCAAAAACCAAAGTAACTGTTTTCAAAATGCCAAAAACATCTCTGTGTGCATTTAGACATTCTCAAAATGTAACATATAACTGAGAAAACATACTAAGCTAGATATTTTCATACTTTAAAAAGAAATTTTGTTGCGAGTGTAAAAGAGACTGCATTTGAAACAATGTACTACAACTTATTCTAAGAGGCTGAGAAGTCTTTTATCAGAACAACTAAATACATTCTCAGCTTCACTGTTGATGTTATTCTTACGGTATATATTCAGCATGACGTTCTGCTCCTGCCTTTGCTCATCTTGACCACACCACCTCAACTTTCTTTTAATCATAAGGCCACAGGTTATACAAGATGAACAGAGCATAAAACAAACATACAAAATACATGCACGTATAACATCTTGCAAAATTCCAGGTTTTTTCTGTTTGTTTTATTAAAAAAATAAAAACCCTGTTTTTCTCTGCTTTATGTTTATTACATTACCTTTATATAGCTAATACAAGCTTCCATAGAAATATCCAGTTCACCTGGATATTCACTTGCCTTACAAAATATAGTTATTCCATACTTTGACCTTATAATATTTTTGCCAGTATGTCTTTAGGAGGCTAACAACATGATACTGAAGATTTAGAACAAAGGCTTTCAAGATGATTTTTGTGTACTACATTTAAGATCCTTAAGTTCTTCTTTAGAAGGTGTCAGGCAACCACACTATGAAAAATAGGTACTGCTGGTCACTCAGTCATCACATAAATAAAATTTCATAATTGCAATATTAGTTCATACTGGGGGGAAAAAAAAAAAAAAAAAAAAAAAAAAAAAAAAANNNNGGGAAGGAAGAGACAATTAGATTTCACCCCTACTCCCTAATACTTACCACTTGCAGGATACTGGATACACTTTCCCAAGAAACTTCAACAATATTATCACCGCCATCAACCATTCCTTGGTAACCCTAAAAAAGGAAAGCATCTCAGAAGTCTTATTTGAAAAGCAGTAACATTTCCATTGTAATAGTACTCCCTGTGTATATTTTAATGAAACTGTAAGTAAGTAAAAACAGTGAATTAAAAGATAGTTAACTTAAAGGATATAGTGTGCAAGCAAGTATCGTGTTAGGAAACATATAGACATACGTATGTTTAGAAGACAGCAAAATTGACACTATAAACACCTAATTTGGGATGATCCACAGCAGACAAAGGCTTTATCCAATAAGAAATAAATTGGTAATACTTGAGTACTGTATAATAGAATAGTATATGAATATTCTATAAAACTGGGAATCCCTCACTAATGTAATAGGATGTGAGGATAAATGAAACATGGCCTCCATAGAAGTTCAAGTTAAAATAAGCTCACAGGGATTTCAGTACAGATGTCAAAGGGAACATGTTACAAGCTTCTGCCCAGTGAGACTAATTAACTTACATTTTAGATGACTGAGTAACAGCAAAGAAATAGCTAGGTAGAAGATGATTGGTCTCAGATTTCTGTCATTCAACAGATCTTTGCAATATTTTGCATGCTCTCCATACACCTTTAGTATGTATCTAATGTATACACATCCAAAATAGGTGTATTGAAGCTGAGGCATTATTTGTGTAATTCCTTCAGAACTGAAGACCAAGCTGGGAAACTAAAGACACGTAATCTACATAACTTCAATGTATTTATAAATATATGTATGTCCATATACAAGATACATAACAATGTTTTTCTTAGAAAGAACATATCTTTCTGAGAAAGTGCAAAGATTCTCAGTAAAATTTATTCCAGTGTATCCAGCTGAACTTGATGAAAGCTAATACATTAAGTGCAATTATCAGAAAGGTATTAAAAGAAAAACAAACAAGAATACAGAGAGTTTGTTATGTCACTCCATACTGGATAGAAAATTTTTACTACTCATCTTTATTTTGGCAACTACAGCACTGAAATACAAGGACAATAAATCCTGAAAGAGTATCATGATATCGCACTTGTCACAGATTAGAGGAAGCTGCACTATAAACTGGTGAAAATACATTCAGTCAATATATTTCCTCCAATTATTCATCTTCCATTCTTACTTGAAAGGAAAAATAATCAAATTGCATTCAAGAAAGTATTACAGGCATATGTAGTAAAGGGATATTATACTAAATACATGAAAATTGCTAATTCATATTTTATTAACCAATCTAAAAACACAGGAAAGAGGGAAGGGACAAACTACCACTTGAAAGTGGTTTTACGTTTTGAAGCACAGCTTCAAAAAAGATGAGCTTTATTGACTCAGAATTATAGGATGGCTGAGTTTGGAAGGGACCACTGGAAGTCATTTTGTCCACCTGCAGTCAGTTCTAACTTCAACCAATTATTCTGCAATTTTGTAATAGTTTCTCTATATAGACATGCAATAACAAGGGCTTTATTAATGATTTCCCCAACTGCAGAGCAAAGAGAGGGAGCTTTTGGAACAAGCTAGATTCATTTTTGCTTTGTTTACATTAGCTTTTATTAACTCAGTTCTGCTTCTGCTTGATAAGTGGTGTGCTTAAGCTCACTTTAAACAGTTTGACTACAATTTCAATTCAGTAGGCAGATGCAAACGACACAGAAGTTTTCAAATAAAGCTTCCTAGAAAAGGTATAAAGAAAAAAAAAAAAAAGTATTAATAAAAACATGATTTCCATTTACTAGTTTATTTAAATGCTGATGCCAACTTGAGGTCTGAGCAATTCATTTTAAAGGTAGAATTCAAGTTGAAGTATTTCATCAGTACAGCAAGCATCATACTTGAAAAATAACCCTTTTATGTTTCCTTCCTCTATCCAACATCTGAGATTTCAAACATTCACAAGATATATACACATACACCATAACTTCTGGAGAGAGGAGGAGACAGTAAGCACTGCTTCTCATCTGAAGACAACAAAAACTTCTGGAAAAGAGCAATCTGTTTTCTGATACCTTTCATGCAAGACATCCAGGGCTTCAGCAGTTATTTAAATTTCCTTACTGAGCTTTTTTGGTTATTACTCAATAACATAAATTACTATTATCACTGAGGGCACAAACCATCACATAAAAGACAATTTTTTCCTCACAGAAATCCATGGCTGCAGTACCACTGCATTTCTAACACTGGCCTCTAGAGAAAAAGACCCCTAAAAGCCAGGTGAACAATCTAAAAGTTCCATAACTTAGTGGTAAGAGCGTGCATCCATGGGGAACTATGTGCTTCAATCCATGAAAAAGAAACATCCATTTCTAAAAAAAAAACTGCCACAGACGAGAGCTACAACTTTTATTTCTCATTCTTTTTAAAAGAGTCATTTTTGGTAAAAACAAACACAGACCTTAAACTACTTTCCTACAGCAGCCTGATACTGTGCTTTCACCTCTTCAATTTTCACAGGATAAGTGAAATAAATCAATAGGTATTAAAGCTTGAATCCAATCTGGAGGAGATTGGGAAATAAAGCGATGCTATTTTACAAGGATACAATGTTACAATACTAAGTTTAAATGCTAAAAGATGTTAACATGATTGAAATGTGAAATCAGGGCAACAGTGTATAAAAGCACTATTTCCACAAATGAATAGAATGACTTTCAGATGTGCCTGCTTCAATGAAATAAGATATGTTTGTTTGTTAGGGTTCTTTCTTAATTATTATTTTCATTCTAAAACTAGTTTTAATATTTATAATATTCATGTGGGCTTCTTATTCATATAGCACACCCTCACACACCAGCTTTTGGAAATCAAAGTCTGCCTAAGTAGCATGAGAATTCCAGTTTCTTTCAGAAGATAAACTTAAAAAAATACATTTATATATAAATCGGTCTTAGTTGACCACTTACTTATAATAGTAGTTCTCTCCTACCTCTGAATGAAGCACAGGAAAATGGAGTTTATGTTTTTTACTTCGAATACTGACCTAGTTTTGGCCACAGCTGTAGAAGATGGATGATTTTAGAGTGCAGAAGTTCTTATGAGGGAAGACAAAAGTGACAGTAGAACAAAACAGGTGTAGTACAGTTACAACAAAGTAAGCTTCAAAAGGCTTACTTTTGAAAAGGAGACTTTTTACTCCAGTTTTGACTCCAAATAAGAAAACATTTGCCAGTAGGGCAACAAAGACGATGAAAGAACTGGAGGTCATGACTTATGATGAACAGTTGAGGGTATTCGGTTTGTTTAACTTAGAGAAAACTGAGAGGAGCTCTCACAGCAGCCTGCAGCATCCTCTGGAATGGATTTCTGCTCTCTGGTAATAAGTGATAAGATGAAAGCTGAGTCGGGGGAAGTTCACATCGAATATCAAGAAAAAGTTCTTTACTGAGGGAGTAGTCAAGCACTGGAACAAGTGGTCATGGCTCCAAGCACATCAGTGCCCAACAATCAAAACTTCAACAGTAACTTTATTTGTACAACTGACTCTCATTCTCAACATTCTGTGATTTTGATATAGGCTGATTTAGTGATGGGAATGGGCATATTTCAGACGACAACGTCACATTAGCAAATTCCAGTAATTATTACAGAAGCACGGTACTTTGTAATGGGATTTTTGAAGTTCAGAAAAACAGAAGCACTTCTATGGAAGTTTATGACTAAATACACTCCATTATGCAAAACAGCCTTTAAAAGGTAACAAACTAACTCTAGGACGAATCATAAAGATGATAATTCTTAGTTCAGAGCTAACAAAAAAAAAAATAAATAACTCTGTCCTTTAAAGGTAACAAAAAAAAACTCCTTCCTCAAAAATATTTGACCCATTTCAGCAACAACAGCTCAAAACTGAAAGAATTCTAGAGGTTGGTCACATAATTAGCACACACTAAGTATTCAGAGCTACTTGCTGTAGCAGGGTAGTACAAAAGAATTTTGGAGCACAGTGCTTTACTTATTTGCATTTCAATACACTTCACATCCCTTTAGTAAATGAATCCTAGGAACAAGCAGACCAAGAAAGATAGATAAATTGCTGCCTTTTAAAGCTAAATTGTATATTTTGCATGCACAAAAAAGACAACAAAGTACTTTCCTATCATTTCTATGAACTCCTTTTGATAAATCACATTAAAAATAAAGTGCACATTCTGTTAGGAGCACTGCCTACTGGATTTTGCCCCATACACTTTTTTTTTTTTTTAAATGATTTCTAGTCATCACATACTTCTAAGTAGGTGTAAAGGAATTCAAGTGTACATAGAATGACTGTTTTGCTAAGAAGTATTTATTGAATTGTGTAACCTGCACATTTTAAGTGAAAGTATATTTCAGTCTAACAGGCTCAGATAGTATTCTTGTAATTTATATTAAACTTGTACATTTTTGTGTCAAATAACTGTTAAGATCATTATGTTGGTTAACACTCTTCACTCAGGCAGGCAGTCAACAGGCAGTCAAAAGATTCAACCACAAAATTTTATGTCTGAACAAACTACTGATAGAGAAGGCTTTCAGTACTAAAGCCTGAAAAGATGGCACTAGTCCTACAGATCTCTTGGTAAAAATGAATTATAAAAAAGCTCTTGGTGTTATCCATGAAATGGGGACAACAACCCCATCTACCCCGGGAGGAAGCCAAAGAGTTAAAAATTAGTAGTTTAACTAGGCTTAAGGAGGTAATTATAAATTACAATGATAGGGGCCAAACATCTAAATACACAAATATATCAATGAGTATTAAAGTTCTAATTCACCACTGAGCAACAACCACCTATTTTCTCAACATTTTCAGGCTTATGGCAGTACATAGAGAATTCAATACATAATAAAAAGTAGCTTTTAAATGAAATAGATTTAACACACACCATATAAAAAGCAATTTCCAGAAATAAGTATGAAAATAAATGTTGAGGTAATGACACATACAGTATCTTTTTTATTCTGTGTTACTTGCTCTTCATAATCTCCACAAGTATAATCAGATTACTCAAGTAGAGGCAGAAGATAAATACAGAATGAATTAAAAAAGCCCACTAACCTCATAAACGAAATAAACTTTGGCTTTCACATATATTCCCATGCGTACCACTGCACGCACAGCAGCATTCATACCTGTTAAGAAAAGCAAAATCACATTGGTATTGATTATCTTTGTATGCGTACTGTGTATTTTCAGTGCCTTTGAAAACAAATTTAAAAGCCCAAAACATTAACTCCTTCCTAATGACAGACAATGATCAGCATGTATTAGTCAGGAATTTGCTTAATGACAGTGCTATCAGCCCATGAATACAAAAAGCACAAAACTATTTGCTTTGATGTAGCAATTATCTTAGATTGTCAACTGAGATAGAATCAAAGACAATTATATGAATGCTAGGATGCACACTGATCAGTGATTGAACTCTTCCTTATTGTAGAACAGCATCGTAAAAGTAAGAGCTATTAAACCAGAAAGGGAATGGAAATTCCTGTCACAATTAAGTTTTCAATATGAAATGTAAAACATTCAACCAATCTAGCTCCTTCAAAGGAGAAATTATGTTGAAATAGCTTTTTCCTGAGCTCTCCAAAATAATGTAAATCTATACAGCCAATGTTCTGTTGGGAGCACAACCAAAGCTCCCGACATTGACAGGTGTCCAATTAAAAGAAAGAAAAAAGTAGTAGTAAATTAATACAATAAATGTTTTTTTTTTTTTTTTTTTTTTTTTTTTTTAAATGACTACACATTACTTTGCTTTCTTGAAATGCAATCTCACATGGGAATTCTCTCCTCAAACATCTAATAAATGATTATTAATACAAAGCCTTACACTCAAGTTGAACAATCAAACACCTGATCTCCTGAACACTAATGGAAGTTTGACAGGTTCCCCTACACACGTTAAATGAATTTTTACCATAATACATCCCTTCAGATATTGTGTCATCTCACTCATTAATTAAGTTCACACAAAAATATACTACTTGCTCCTTACACGGACATAAGGGATTATACAAAGCCCAGGTACAAAAGCAGCAGCTAGGCTACACTGAAAGAAACAATCCAGCACATCCATTAAAAAGGGATGACAGAAACATGAAAAAAGAAACAAGAAACCATCTAAACCTGCTGCATGCAGTAATATCAAAGTAACAAAATAGTAGGCGAACTTCGTTGTTACCATAGGCATTAAATGCTCACTAATATGGAAGTACAAAAATAGGGTAACTAGAATACATAACCCGTAACAAAGTATGCCATAAAAATCTATCCCTACAACTTCCATCATCATTGAGAAAGGAAAAGAAAAACAAAAAAAAAGAATGAGACTGAGGTTTTCTCATTTTTTTTTCAAAAGTTACTGAAGTGGCTTAACATAAAACATAAATAATAAAAAAAAAAAGTCTGCCAAAATCAAGAAGTTGTACAGTCTGATTTGTTGTTTCCATACTAGCACTTAGCCTTAAGAATAAAATCCTAAGCAACTGTTTTCCCATAAATTCTGAACTAGGAAGTAATAGCAAGAATTCTCTTACTGCCCCTCAGCCCTGTGGCTGAACACACACACAGAAAAAAAGCAGTTTTGGAACAAGATCTGGCTAATGCCAAGGAAAAGCAGAGAAATTCTTTTGACACGCTGTGCTGAAAAGAAAGTCAGCATGCTAAATTCCAGATTAAAACAAATCTACTACACACAGTGAAACGATTTTCAAAGAAACAATAAAGAAAAAAGAAAGTAACACAAACACACACCAGGTCCTCTGGAAAACACAGACAAAAACCCTTCGTTTTTCCAAGTTATAAAATGAACTGTCATTGCGCTGCCATTTTCTGCAAACCAAGACAAACACAAGCTACTCCTTTCATTAAAGTCCACTGAGTACTTCAACTCATTAGCTGAACAACTGTTTGTTGTTTTCAGGATTTTTGTTTGTTTTTAATGGGTAAGAACAAGTCTTTAAATTATCCATATCACTGCAGAGTTCAAGAAGAGTGGCTAAAAAGTTCATTTTCTGAAAGAAAGACACACATTGTCTGTCAGTCACCGAGGACTACTCAGAACTGCCTTGCTTTAAGAACTTTCTGTTCTCGAGGTTCAGCTCTGACACTCCTCATGTTTGGCACAGAAGGGGAAATAGGAAATAGTAAGGCATGTTCAGCTACAAAGACTGTGCTGCCTCACTCTGTTAACTTGTGCTAACTTTTGTCTTTGTTCTCCAAGTATTCAAGCAGAAAAATAGAAAAGGTGTCTGATTCAAGCAACTTGACGTTCTGTCAGCAAAAAAAAGACAGGAAATACAAAGATTACTAAATTACTATTAAAGACATACATTCATCTTTCTACTACTCGTATTTCTGTATTATTGGTCATGTATCACACCATTCTATGTTTAGGATAAATCTTCCAAGTAGTGTATTTTAAAGAAGGGTAGCTCTTATCCAAGTTTTCTCCCACATCACTTTTTCCTTAAAAATTAGCCTGCAAATGTTGACCAGACTTAACTTTCACACTTGTAAAATAGAGTTTATTTCTCAAAATGAGAAATCAATTAATCCTTTTCACATTAATATATTCATGATATCATCACATACTTTTTTAGTATTTCTTCATTTCCCTGTGTCTTATATGAAAAACTGGTAAGGCTCATAATTTACCTGTCTGAAAAGAGGGCAAAAATCCAGGAAAAAATAGGAGTTACAGACAGAAAGCACTTCCTCAGTACCCACACTGAAACTCAGTAAATTTATGCAACAGACGTTGTTATTATTTGGTGATGTGTGGTTTTTTTTTTTTTCATACAGGAGGAAGATATGGGCATCTATTAGCAAGCTCCTGCAAAAGTGACTAGCATCTGAAGCATATTATGATTTGGTATCTTCAAAATGCAGGTAAAACACTGAAGCTTTAGACTTTTATATCTTGGCTATTTAAATCTGAACACTGCTGCTTGCAGCAATACAAATATGTAAATAAGAACATTTCACAAAGTCTCTGCATAATTTATCTAACAAAACGCTGCTCTATTTCATTATCCATGGAGTCCTACAATAGCATTTATGAATTACCATAATATCTATGAAATGTAATTTTATGCTTATTACTGAAAAATAGATTTACCCAGTTAATCATGAATTTAGTTTTGAGTAATAAATACTACACCAATAAACACATAGGATTAGAATAGCAGCTTCAAAAGTAAGCCACAGACAAAAACATTATTTTTAATAACATAAGAATTATTCAAATTCTTTCTCAATTATCATTTGCTTTTGCATTAAAGCCTTTGATAGAGGAAATGATTTATTTTGTCCTTTTGGACTCAACAATGTTTAAGCTATCTGCAATTACTCGAATTAATTATAGGAATTATGTAAAGCCATCTAGGAATTTACTGTCTATTCAACTGTCTTTGAAATCATTCGTTTTTCACAGCAGAGTTACAAACAGAACTGCTGAAATTTTTAAGTTATTTTGAAGAAATCCCTTTCCTCAAAAGAATATTTCTGTCCCATGACTGCATCCTATTTCATATACACAAACAGAACTACAACAGAGAAGTTGGAATAAAACTAGGACACTATATCATGTTGAGCTAATTTTTTTTGCTTTAGTTAACTAAAAGAAGCGCTTATGTAAGTAACTATAATACTAACCAAGGAAAAGTCAAAAACATGCATTTTGGTCACACATCAAAAAATCTTTAAGTACTACCAATTTTAAAGACAGGTATTGGCTTAAACATGTTTGCTAAACCATGAAGCATGTACTTAAGTACTATCTTGAATAAGAAACCTGAGTTAAAAGATTATAGAGCAAAACACGCAAACTACAGGAACGTCTTAACACTATCAACCAGAAAGCCTTTATTCAGAAACAAAAATGGATATGAATTAAGAGACTATATGGTAATGAATTAAGAGACTATAATCATCATACTGAAAGACGAGAAAAAACACAAATACAAAAACTGAACAAATCATTGAAAAAAATAATAGTAATTGGAGTTTTCTCCATTTGTCTTTAATCACGTCACATTTTATTGCAGTCACAGTAACGACTCTATATGCCTGAATACCACAGACTTTTTCTAACAGTAACACCATATTAGATCAGAGTCTTGTACTGCACAAATACTTACACAACTTCTATACCAGATACATATCTCTTTCAAGATTTAAAAAGCATCCTAACAGTCTATTTTCAATCTTAGAATTATAGATGCAGTTCCTCCAAAATATTAAATGTCATGAAAAAGATATACTCATCTATTAATAACTGTAAGCCTTGACTTTACTTATATATGCGTGCATGTCCTTAAGTTAAATGCTTTTTGCACATGCCTATGTCTGTAGAAACATAGAATCTTATTTTCTGAGACAGATGCCTCAGTGATTATCGTCAAACTACGTTAAACATCAGCAGATAAACTCCACAATTTGGACATCACAAGGGAGTGCATTTTATTAGTTTATTATTTTATTATTCATCCAGCAATCACAATTCATTTTTCCAATGTAACCGATCATGACAAGAGCAGTACATCTATGCTACCATATTAAATATGCCTTGAAACATCATTGGTAAGTCTGAAATGCTTCAGACAGAGAAATGGAAGTCTTTATTTCAGCAGCAACTGTCTATGGCATTCTAGGACATTATCAGGTAATCCATATTCTACCTCCCTTACTTGTTATCTGCCACCACACTAAACCTCTTAGTTTGTCTCAAAAATAACGTGATCACCTTTAAAAAACAATAATCCCAAGTGAGTAGATGGGCAACAGCCACAAATTCAATATTTCCAGTGATGCAAATCTGCCTTCCATTAGCTTTCAGATGACATGGCTTTTCTTGCTGTAGCGCCATACCTATCACGATCCTAGAACAGGCAGTCTGATATGAGATTGTACAAGTGTAAAAGTAACTTACAGGTGTCAAAATTATCCATGGTACCAGTAGCCAGCATAAAATACTACCACCATACTTAAAGCAGATCATGGCAAGTGCTGCAGTGTGATGACAGAAGAGTGACTCAAAACCCATTTTCAGTTCACCTTTCTGAACGGTAGTCACCATCATTTAGAAACAGCGCAGAAACTGAATCAACTCCAGAGTTTGAGAGTAACTGTCAGAAATTCTTTTCTCTCTCAAGATACTTTAAGGAAGAAAGTACTTACTTTACTTCACTATTGAGCTGGCTAGGTAAAGTAATGCCTGCTAAGTTTAGTACTTGCACACATTAGTAAAATAGGTGTAATATTTAAATAGTGTACTGACATAAAGTAAACCACTAATACATTCTTTAACACAAGCATATTCTTTATGGTGGGGATAGAAATGCAATGACTGAATCATAATAACCCTAGTATGGAGCGTACACATTATAGTCCTTGATATTCCACAATTAGTCAAAAAGACAAGCATAAAACCTTGCAAGAAAGTACCACAAAAGCGAGGAAGTAGTTTACGCTTTAAAATATCCCATAAATAGAAAAGCTTGTGTATTTTACATAATGCTACTCCTAAATTATTCAAAGGTACAGCAGCCGCAAAGGCAGTAACTTGTATTCTAAAATATGAAGCATATTTTGTTCTAGGCAAAGATTTACTGCCCACCTATCTAAATCAAGGCACTTACTGGGATGAAGACTCATGTTTATTGTAACTATAATTGATGCTCTTTCCACTGCCTTTCCTTCTGAGGTTGGTTTGCATTACAGATAATCTGAATATTTCTGATGTCTATCTAAAAAAATCTGAAAGAAAACAGGAGTCTGAAACTATTCTGTTTTCACTTTTTTTGCCTACTTCAGAGTTGGTAGTTTTGCCTGTCATACAGTTTTGCTTGAACATGTATCTTCAAAGAGTTCTGCAGCAACTTCACTGTATTTCCTTCTGCTCATAGATCACAACTTCTCTAGCACATTTGCCCTACAGAAGGCAAATGACCTTGACAAAGCATGACTCATCTTGTCCCTTGTCCTATGCCTAACCTAGCATGCAAACAGAGGTTGTATTTTACACATCCACGTTGTTCTCAAGATAGTAAGGTTTATGGAAGTCAGCTGTATTGTGTCATTCAATCCAAAGGACCAAATTCTAAAACTACATTTTAATTATTCTAAGTTAGGTCAACAAAGCTGCCTACAAAATATCTTGGAAGCCATCCAGTTTGCTTTGTTTAGTCTTCGCAGCCACCTCATTCCTCAGACAGCAACTTACACTGTTGTTAATCTTTACCTTGCTGCAGTTGCAATCTGGTGGATTCTGGTAGTCTAGAAGCTACTCGCAGATTCTGAAAGTCCTTTAAGTGCCTTAATTCACATAAAGTATTAATCTCTGCTGGCCACTATAAAAAAGAGATGCATCTGCTGATGCATTATATAATCTCCAGACACGCGGAAGCGAGTCAGCCTCTTGCTGAACATGCTACTGCTGCTTGAGGCAATGCCCTGTCACACTTAGAAGTTAAAATGGCGATTTGGGGACCAGACCATCAACACAGAGAAGCTTTGACTCACAGTTCCTTCTGGAATCATTTAGCAGTGGAAGTAACAACACTGAGAGCAAACTGTAGATAAAACTTGAACAAATGTAACCCGACTGAGGAGCAAGGAAGAAGCCATTTAAGGTCATCGATTTGTTTTTTCTCAGGAACTACAATGTTTTCCTCTCTGATTGGTACTAGAGCCCTCGCACTCCCGATTAGAAAGATTCCCGATAATTGCAAGTAAAACCGGGGACTCCCCGTTATTCCTGCGGGGTGAGGGCGGGAGGATGCTTCTCCCAGCCCCGATGACGCAAGGAGGCGGAATCCGCAGCGACTCGCAGCGGATCACGTACACACCGGCGGCGGGGAGGGAGCGCGGAGGCACCGCTCCGTGGAGTTGCCGGCGCGGGGACACAGCGGGGAGCGGGCACCGGAGAGCTGGGGGTGCTGCTGGTATCGCTCACACGCTGGAAGAACCGGGAGGATGCCCCAAACCCGGCAAGACCCGACACGTGTCCACGTGCGGGACAGGTAGTTCTGGTATTTAAACTACCGAGCCCATGCACAAAGAAAAGAGGCTTTTTTGTTGTTTTTTTTTTTACCCTTCAAAAAGCGTGTTAAAGGAAAATTCCTTAACTTAAAGTATTTCCGAAGCACTCTCTGGCAATATAATAGTACTAACATAGTTGTGACTTCAGCAAAGGAAGCTGAAAGCAATCCTCACTTAACTGGCAAAAGTGGAGAGTCCTGCTAAGCCACATGAAAAAAAAAAAAAAAAAAAAAAAAAAAAATCGGAGATTTAGAGCCTTAATCAACTGAAACTTTAGACTTAATTTATGTGAGGCTTTCTGGTAGAAAAAGGGAAATGAAAGTGCGGGAAAACACGACTTCAGAACTAAGTATTTTGCGATCGAGGCTCTTTCTCTTTTCTTCTAACGTCTATAGGTCTTTTGTTCCCCTTCTTCCCGTGGCTAGGCACACTTCAGGCACTTAGTGAAACACGTTTGCAGCACGCTCCTGCTGGGCTGGAGAGCCAAGCACCACCCGAGATTTTAAATCACGGGTAGGAACAGGAAAACGCTGCCGGTGCCAACACGCAGCGAGAAGCGGATGAGGCGAGGGCTGGCAGCAGCCAGGCAGCCTCCTCTGGTTCCCACCAGCCATCCGTTCCCCACCATTTCCCGGAGTGAAGACATTTTGGTGGTGAAAGTTCCCGGAGCGCCTCTATCCTCTGCCCTGCCAGGCTCGGAGGAGGCCACGCGTAGGGAAACGCGATGAGAAAGGGAAAGACGGATGAGAGGGTCTGCCTGCAGCTCGGAGGCCGCGCAAAAACGGTTTTCACCGGCCTCAGTAAGAGAGGCAGCGAGGAAATAGGAGCCCGAGGACCACCGCAGTCCCTCCAGCAGCCTCTCCCCACGCCGAGCTGCCCCCGCTCCCCGCATTGCCTTCCGCATGGGCTCCCCGCGCTCCTCCCTCCCTCACCCCATCCCCCGAGGGCTTCCCCCACCCTCCCCGCTGCTCTTTTCCCTTCGGCGCCCCAACCTCCCTTCCACCCTCCTCGTTCCCCCCTGCTCCCCCATAGCCACCTTGGGCATCGCCGCCGCTGGTCAGCACCCCGATGGCTTTCCCGGTGCCGGAGAGGTTCTCGAAGAACTTGGGCTGGTGATCCATGGCTGCGGGGGGCGCGGAGCGAGGCGATGAAGGAGCTCCTGCGACTCGGCCCTGCTGCCTGGGAGTGCGAAAGCGGCTCTGTCAAGTATTTGGCCTCCAATAAATAAATAAATAAATAAATAACGTTTAAAAAACAAAAACAAACAAACAAAAAAAAAAAACGGTGCTGGAATGTATTTACAAAACGTGTTTCGGTAAGAGAAAAAAAAACCAAAAAAAAAAACAAAAACCCGGAAGCAACGCGAGAAGCCCGGAGAAAGGAAAAGAGACGAAGAAAACGCGAGCGAGATCAGACGTGCTGCACCCACATCGCACCCCGCACCTCCCGCCACCGCCGCCGTTTCCTCCGGCCGCTCCCGCTGACAGCCCGCCCAGCCCCACCTTCCAACGCCCCTCCGCGAGCGGCGGTTGACGGCCGGCTCGAGCAGCCAGTGGGAAGACGCGCTGCCGTCGTGAGCCGCGGGTGGGCGGTTACGTTTGTAAGGAAGCGGGCAGGTCGGGGGGTGTGCACGAGGCGGGGGAGCGGCGGAGGAGGGGCCGCAGGTGGGAGCGGGAGGCGCCGTTGAGCCCTTCCCCCCGCGCCGCCGGGGCCCGGGGTGGGGGCGATGCGGAGAACATGGCTGGCGTCTGGGCAGGGGGAGGTGCGGGGGGAGGAGGGAGCTCCGTCGGATGGACTTAGCGCATCCTCCCGGCGCCGGAGTGCTGAGTAACAGCGTGGTGCGTGGAGCCGCTGCCGGGGGGGCCCTCCTGTGAAGAGCTCTCTCTCGGGCCCTCCCGCTGTCAGGGCTTATCTCTGCGGGGGGAATCCCCTTTGCGAGAGTCAGCCTTCCCTTCCCAGCCCTTTCCCATTGCTTAGGTTACTGCTCGGCTCCTCTAGTGCTGCGGCGCTTTCTGTCTCTCGCTTGGCTGCTGCTGAAAAGACTCAGCTAGAGAGGAAAGCAGCTTTGGCTGAAGGAGCAGAGGAGGTTATTTCGGCCATGGTGTGGCACAGCTTATGTCACAGGGCCTCGTCTGTGTGCAGCATCTAGAAGCACTGCAGGCATTCAGGCACACGTAGGAAAAGGAAATCCCTGTCTACAAGTATTCACAGCTTGGAGACACATGTTGAGTCTAAGGGAGGAGGAGAGGCAAAGCAAATGAGAGAAACTGGATGGAAGCCCTGTCCTGCCATACCTTTTGTTCTGCTTCATTGTGCGATGTGGCATGTGTCACAGCAGAAACAGACCCTTGTTTTATTAAGTTTATTAATGTGCTGTTCCAGAAACAGTTCTTTGTGGAATAAAGAGAAACGTAAGTAAAAGCATTTGCAGAATCAGGAACTAAGTTACTTGACCAAAATTACAAAGTCAGGGAGAGTCAGGAACAGAAGCAACATGCTGACTCAAGTTTTATACTTTAATTGCTGTAATAATTATTGTTTTGATTCAACAACTACATCACATTAAACAATTCTTACTCAAAAAATACGTGTTCTCATCCTGTCAACTTTCACACAGTCACAGGCATACATGCAGTCATTTGAGTAGTTCAGTCAATATTACTCAGAGATAAATGCTTCCAGAAACTGTACGTGCAAAGAAATGTCTATGCCTATTATGTGGGCAGTTCTATATTTGCAAATCTCAGAGGCTAAGACGAGTGTGTCGACAATGGAAAAGACACATTTCCAAATAGCTTGCATACTTTGAGTGCTTTTTTTTCTACAAGTAGCTGCACTAGTGATAATGTAGGGAATGTATTGTGTTGTTTCCCTGTATTTGAAGATATCCCCAAGTAACAAACTGTAATAACAAAGGTAAACTTCTTCTTGTAGAAATATATAACACCTATAAAGTCCCACTTTGAATGACTTCAATATGAAATGAAATTACATCAATTTATTTAAGTGTAACTCTGGAAAAGCTAATTAATACTTATACACTGCCTCTAATATCAATTGGAATTAGGCCAATATATACTTTTATAGCAGCTGTTAATAATTTCTCATCTGAGCAATACTTTGAGGAAGCTTTGCAGTGATTTGCTTTGGTACAGACACTTAGCTCATCTTTAGAACTGACTTATTTTACTCAGTTTTATTAAACCATTTACATTTGGTCTTGAACTAGACATGTCCCTTTTACTTCCAAGTATACCTTTGGTGCTATGGAGCTATGTTTTCTGAAAGTACTTTTTTTTTTTTTTTTTTTTTTTTTTTTTTTTTTTTTTTGCCAACTGCTCTATGGTTCGTAAAAAATTTTGTCCTTATAACTGATGCAATTGTTTTCCCACCTGTCTAATTAGGATATGTCCTACAATTTCACTGCTTTTAGCATTTATTACAGCTATCATTGTTCTTTAGGACAGCTCTCAGGAGAGAACTGTATTTTGACTGTGTAAAGGCTAATGACAGAGGTGGGAGGAAGGAAGGGATGTCGAACTGTTTGTTCTCAAAGCAGTTTTGATGTGCTTAAATATCTTACGGGGCTACAGTTGCCAGGACTGAATTCTTGGCTTGAATATTGAAGACTGTTAGGGCAAACAATACTGTTTAACCTTGTGGGATACAGTTGCAATGCAGTTGGGTACAGGTGCATAAATCATACTGACACTAAGAAAATAGACTTTTTGAGATATTCAAACTGATAATAAAAAATATATATGAATAAAACATCAGCAGCCAAGTTGCACACTGTGCATTAGGTGCTCTAATTTTCCTCTTACTATAATACCTTATTCAGTCACTTTATACAGGATAGGAACAGCATGGGTGGATTTCAACTGTTCCCTGATACTCTCCACTGCAGATAGTATACTGCATCCTTCTTATGCCTGTATGTTCCCTGTGCTCCATCTAGATCAAAGCTATCCATCCATCTTTTAATCCTCAAGATTGTTTAGCTACAACTGTTGTTAACTTAACAGTATTTTTCTACAAGTTATTTCCTTCGTAATGGACTAAGGAGAATCTCCATCCTTTACTGGATGTGGCAGGGAATGTGGCCACTGAGGATAAGGAAAAGGCTGAGGTTCTCCATGCCTACTTTGCATCTGTCTTTAAAAAGTCAGAGCAGTTATCCTCAGGGTACTCTACCCCCTGACCTGTAAGTGTGAGATGAGGTGCAGAATAAACCCCCCGTGATTCAGGTGGAAACTGTTAGAGACCTATTACTCCACCTGGACTGCCACAAGTCCATGGGGCCAGATGGGATCCACCCGAGGGTGCTGAGGGAGCTGGTGGAGGTGTTAGCCAAGCCACTTTGTATCATCTATCAGCATTCCTGGTCAACTGGAAATGTCTCAATGTAACCAATTTTATTTATTTATTTATTTTACCAATGTAACTCTCATCTACAAGAAGGGTCATAAAGAGGATGTGGGGAACTACAGGCCTGTTAGCCTGACCTCTGTGCCAGGAAAGGTTTTGCAGCAGATTATCTTGAGGGAAATCACACAGCATGTGCGAGACAGCCAGGAGATCAGGCCTAGTCAGCATGGGTTCATGAAAAGCAGGTCCTGCTTGACCAACCTCATCTTCTACAATCAGGTGACCCACCTGGTGGATAAGGAAAAGGCTGTTGAGGTAGTCTAACTAGACAGTAGATACAATGTTCTTCTGGAGAAGCTGGCAGCCCATGGCTTGGGCAAGTACACTCTGCTGGGTAAAGAATTGGCTGGATGGCCAGGCCCAGATATATGGAGTGACATGCAGCTGTCAACTGGTCATGCGTAGTTTTGTTCAGGGATGGATATTGAGGCCTGTTCTGTTCAATATCTTTATTGATGACCTGGATGAGGGCATTGAGTGCATCCTTGCAGATGATACCAAGCTGGGAGGAAGTGTTGATCCACCTGAGGATAGGAAGGCCCTGGACAGGTTGGATAGCTGGACTGAGGTCAACGGGGTGAAGTTTAACAAACCTAAGTGCCAGGTCATGCACTTTGGCCACAACAACCCCAGGCAACGCTACAAACTTGGAACAAAGTGGCTGGAAGACTGTGTAGAGGAAACAGACATGGGGTATTGATTGACTCTCAGCTGAATATGGGATGACAGTTTGCCTAGGTGGCCAAGAAGGCCAATGGTGTTCTGGATTGTATCAGAAATTGCATTGCCAGGAGGAGCAGGGAAGTAATTGTCCCTCTGTACTCAGCACTGGTGAGGTGCACGTGGAGTACTGTGTTCAGGTTTGGGCCCTTCATTACAAGAAAGACATTGAGGCACTGGAGTGTGTTCAGAGAAGGGCAACGAAACTGGTGAGGGATCTAGAGCACAAGTCTTATGAGGAGTGGCTGAGGGAGCTGGGATTGTTCCATCTGGAGAAGAGGAGGCTTGGGGGTAACCTTACAGCTCTCCACAACTATCTGAAGGGAGGTTTTGGTGAGGTAGGAGTAGGACTCTTCTTCCATGTAACAAGTGATAGGACTAGAGGGAATGGCCTCAAGTTGTGCCAGGGGAGATTCAGGCTGGACTTTAGGAAATACTACTTCTCTGAGGATGTGATCAGGTGCTGGAACAGGCTGCCCAGGGCGTTGGTAGACTTCCCGAATCTGGAGATGTTCGAGAAATGTTTAGATGTTGTACTGAGCGGGATGTGGTTATTAGGAAATATTGGTGATAGGTGGATGGTTGGACTGGATGATCTTAGAGGTCTTTTCCAACCTTGGTGATTCTATGGTTCTATTCTATCATAGATGTATGGAAAATAATAGAATCATAAAATGGCATAGATTTCCAAGCCCTCTTTCATGGGCAGGGCTGCCGCCCACCAGATCAGGCTGCCAGAGCCCCTCCAGCCTGGCTTTGAATGCTTCCAGGGATGGGGCATCCACTGCTTCTCCAGGCAGCCTGCTAGTGCTTCACCACTGTCTGAGTAAATAATGCTTCCTAATATCTATACTGGATTTTCCATCTTTCAGTTTAAAGCCATTCCCCCTTCTTCTATCACTATCAGACTGTGTAAAAGGTCACTCCCCTTCCCACTTTCAAGCTACCTTCAGGTACTTGAAGGCCAAAGTGAAGTTTCACCAGAACCTTTTCCAAGCTAAACAAGCCCAACTCTCTCTATCTTTCTTCATTGGAGAAGTGCTCCAGACATTCCTTTTTTTTTTTTCCAGTGTAGAATCACACGTTTTCTTAAATGACATGTATGTACTGCAATTTGTAATCCATGCTCAATGGGTTCATTATTTGATTTTTTTTTTTTTGTATTACTTTTTCTTCTTCCTGCTTCCAGCTTGTAAATTCATTATTCATTGCCACTATCAAACAAACGTTCTTAATGTTATATATATTTCTATGTAACCTAGCTTTCAAACTTTGTTTTTTCAAAAAAAAAAAAAAAAAAACCACAAGTTTTTTTAAAAAAACAATATTTAAACCTCAAAAATGTTTTTTAGTGTTTTGGCATGATCCATATAACTCTGGTCTCCACTTCTTAAATTAAAAGTGTGTTTTTCTCCTTTTATTGGTTTGAAAAATTCAACACTGAGCTAAGCACCACTCAAAATAATGCAGATCAAAGAGGATTTGTGTTATGAAAGATGGATTGTGTCAGATATACTAGGCTTGGGATGATTGAGCTGTGCTAGTCATATATGTATCATAATTGTTTCGTTTAAAAGACCACAGAAACAGAAAAAACTGCTTCAGTCATTTATTTAAGAGAAAACATACTAATTAAATGGGTAATGAATCATAAAATTGACTGAATTATTTCTCCTTTTTTAGGGGAGAAGAATATGCAAGTCTGTCTTTCTCACCTTGAGAACTTCAGCATTGAGCCATCATGTTGTGCCACAGGATAATTTGTAAGCTTGCAGTACTATGACCTACAACAGGTGCGTGTGTAGCTGTGAATTGAGTAGGGCCATGTATAGAAGTTCATAGTTCACATGGAACAATTATAGATTAATAATGCTATTCTCAGAATATGGTGCTGCGGATGTTTTATTTTAATCAGTATGAATTGTCTCAATGTGTTGAGGAGAATTCCTACTACTTGTGATATGAATTGCATGTTTATGTAATTTATTGCATAATATAAAAATATAAAAAATCCTTACAGTATTGTCTGGTATACATAACTTCTTTCTTCTAGATGTGTGCCTTAAATACCTAATTATTAGATGGTATTATCCTTTGTACATTATTTCTGAATTAGTGAATCCTTGTAAGAGCTTCAACAGAAGAGTTAAAGCATTCTCATACAAAAATAAAGTATCCTTCTTTCTGACAGGACAGATTGTGGAAAGCTTCAATGCACTTGGGCCAAAGATGGGGCTGTTTTTAGGAGTGCCCATTTCTGGTCATGTGCGGCAATTGTTAGGCTGTATTATATATATATATATAATATATTTTATATATATTATATAAAAAGTGAGAACTGTGGAGGTCACTTCAGATGAGGAGATGATATTAAGTTCTCTGAAATTTATTCTTTGATATTCCTCAGAAAAATCTGGTTAGAATAATGCTTAGGCTTTAGCTTCTGACACAGCATGAATATGGAGACATCAGCTAACTGCTTATGTGGACTGGGGCCAAATGGATCATTTGGCATCTTTTCTCTCAGCAGACTTGATGGAAAAGGGAGAAAAAATCTGAAAGACGTAGGTATAAATCAGGGTTTTTTTAAGGGAAGGGATGCCTCTTTCCCAATTTATGACATTGGATATCATAAAAAACATATAAACAAAAAAACAGAAAACAAACAGAATATGCACTCACACACACAAAACAATGACAACAACACCAAAATACCCACAGATGAACACTGAAATGTTATTCTCTGTTATGCTGCTTAAAGCTATGTAGTATTATTATGCTTCAAAAAAAATGGATTATAATAAGTAATGATCTGACCTAAACTAATTCAATTGGTTTGGTAAGTGTAACTTCATTTCTTCCTTAATATAATCTCTGATTCTCTACAAATATCAAAATGGCAGTTACCTGTCACAAAGATTTCAATTTTAAAATATTGAATTAACAGGACAATATAATTAAATATGTCAGTCACTCTGAAAGTAATGCCTCCTATTTATTTCCATGGAAACTACAAGAGTACAAAGAGCACACTATTTGACAGCACAAATTCTCAGCTACACAGCACTGTTTTTCAACATATCATTAGCTATGCATTTTCACCACTTATGAAAAAGTTGAATGCCACTCTTGTAAAAATCTGCATGTCTGTCCAGAATGTGGCTTGTCTTTCATGTCACTGTTGCCGTTGATAAAACACAACGCCCCCCACATCACTGTGCTCACATCCACTGGCTGGTCTCTATGCTTTCAGCAAGCATAGTTGAATGTCAGCGGGTGCTATTTATTATTATTATTTACTTTTTTTCTACATAGAGGAATTCAGTTCCACACCTTTGTTCCATACTTTCCTGCTACAACTTTTGCTTTGTTCTTTTTACGTTGCTCCTTATGAAGAGAGAGCATCTATCCCCTTTGTAGCTTCTATTTAAGTACTGAAAAACAGTGAGGAGCTCCTTTTTTCCACAGGATGAAAATACTTAGCTCCTTCAGTCTTTCCTATAGCCTTACATTCATCTTTGTGGCCCTCTTTTGGACCCTCTGCAATCTATGTCATTTTTGAATTGTGGGTACCAGAATCAGATGCTGTAGTCCAGATGTAGCCTGACAAAAGATGGATAGAATAGGATGATCACATTCCAGTCTCTACTAGTTGTGCCCCTGCGTATCCAGCCCAGAGCTGATTTGCTTTTGTTTCTACAGCAGTGCACTTCTGACTGGTGCTCGGCTTGTTCACCAGGACCCTCAGGTCCATTTCTATAAGGCAGCTCCTCATCCACACAGATCCCAGCCTACACTGGGCTCTTCAGTTATGTCATCCTTTGGGGGAACCCTGCTTATGACAGGTTGCCAGCCTCAATAAAATTGGAAGCTCTAGCATTATGCATGATAATGTAGGTAACTGTGCATACTTCAGTTATTAGTGATAGCTTGTCGAGAGAAATGAAATGATATATGACTGCTCTTTTTTTCCAAAATTTCTTGTTATTCATTGTGTAGTCTTACTGCTGGATTGAAATGGAATTCTGTATTCAAAATGTCTAAACAGAAACACTAATTTGGATGTTGACAGGTGGAGGAAGAGCATAATTGGAAAAATGAAATACATTCCAGTGTCTACAGGTCACCTTTGTGTCCTCCACAAAATATTTGTGTAGCAGAATGTTGTGAAGTTTTCTTTCTGCAGGACTGAGTGAAAAGGATTTTTTTTTCAATGAAGCAGATTATGAGGCTCTGTGATACAGCTTGTGTGTTAGCAGCAAGCAATTTCTGAGAGAAATTACAAGTGCTTAAAGAAAGCAATAACGTTAAATATTTGCTCAAAATTACTTGCATTCCAAGAAACAGTCTTTACCCTTTATTTTTGTGTCATGAATAATGCATAATAGCAAAGATTGATTCTTCAACAGAGTGTAATAATTTTGTGTATACTATTTCCTAGTCAGTCAGTACTTCTTGTTCTTAAGCATATCCTTTGTGTCTTGCTCTTCTCCTCATTGTTTCAGTTTATCTTCCAGGTTTTTCTGTTTGTTTGTCTACTTGTTTTTGTTTTTTTCTTTTTCAACCATCTGTTTTCCTTTGTTCCTTCTTGATTTCTTTACTTACAACTTCCTTTCCATTTCATTCTTCCTTACTTCCTAACACTGGCGGTAAAAGTTTCAGGAGATTTTTTTCTCTGTGGATAGTACCATACTTAACTGGTACTAATTTTGTATTCTTTCTTCTGAATATTTTTTATGACACTGACTTGAGAGCATAAATGATGATGAAAAACATGTAATGTTTCCACTTATGAAAGAAAGAAATAGCCTTTAATAACTAGCAGAGTCATTTCACTTATAAGACGCAAGTCAGGATACCTTATTTAATATGATCAGTATTCTTGTGAAAGTTGTTAGTGACATCTCCTTTCTCATTTTCTTTGAAATTTAAATAGTTAGATTGAATGTATATAATATTAATTTATTGTAAAAATGCATCTATATGCTTCCTTTGAATGCATATATTTAAATTTTGGGGCAGAGCTGCAGAAAAAGACAAGTTGTGTTTACTATTTACAGAGTTAATAATGTTGTAAGCTTTTGCGGCAAATAGTATTCAAGAGCATGTGCTAGTCAAAATCTCATACTGATGTCTGGCTTTTTACATATTGATTTTTTTTTTTTTTTTTGCCAGTAATTGACTATGATTCCTTGGAATACCAGAGAAATCCGATAAGAGAAATTACTGTCTGATAAATTATGCAAGTGTACAAAGTATTTTTATTATATGCTTGAGTAATACCATTAGATTAGGATCAGTATGTTAAAGAAATTAGCATGTTAATAAATTGAATGGTGATTTCAGTGATGAGACATAGATGGAGCATATTTAATGTTTTCAGGAGGAGAGAGAGCAAAAGATGTTTTAATTTTGTCTTAACCATCATATTGCCATCAATAAAAGTAATTAATCAAGAATCACAATAGGATGAGAACTACAATGAAGAATATTCACTTTTCTAACAATTTCTGCCTTGGATGTTTTCAAGACCTACCTTGACAAAACCTGGAATTCAGGGATGACCTTACTTTGAGCAGGAGTTTGAATTTAGATCTTATGATGTCCCTTCCAACTTAAACTGTTTTGTGATTCTATAATTCAAAATTATACTCAATTTTGTAAAGAACTAAGATAATCAGTGCATGTATTAGGTGGATTAGAAGGTAATAATTATTTTATCTTTAAGTTCATTTAAGTTGGGCAGTAAGGAACCAGATGAAGTTTAACAAAAGCAAGTGTAGAGTCTTGCACCTAGGGAGGAATAATTCCATGCACCGGTACAGGTTGGGGGATGACCTGCTGGAGAGGAGCTCTGTGGAGAGGGACCTGGGTGTCCTGGTGGACGACAGGTTGGCCATGAGCCAGCAGTGTGCCCTTGTGGCCAAAAAGGCCAATGGCATTCTGGGGTGCATTAAAAGGAGCGTGGCCAGCAGGTCGAGGGAGGTGATCCTCCCCCTCTACTCTGCCCTGGTAAGGCCTCATCTGGAGTACTGTGTCCAGTTCTGGGCTCCCCAGTACAAAAAAGACAGGGATCTCTTGGAAAGAGTCCAGCGGAGAGCCACAAAGATGGTGAAGGGCCTGGAGCATCTCCCCTATGAGGAAAGGCTAAGTGAGCTGGGTCTGTTTAGCCTTGAGAAGAGAAGACTGAGAGGGGACCTGATCCAGGTCTATAAATATCTAAGGTGTGGGGGGCAAAGTGGCGAGGCCAGACTCTTTTCAGCAGTGTGCGGAGACAGGACAAGGGGAAATGGCCAGAAGCTGGAGCATAGGAAGTTCCGCACCAATGTGCGCAAGAACTTCTTTACGGTGAGGGTGATGGAGCACTGGAACAGGCTGCCCAGGGAGGTTGTGGAGTCTCCTTCTCTGGAGATATTCAAGACCCGCCTGGACGCCTACCTGTGCGACCTGGTGTAGGGATCCTGCTTTGGCAGGGGGGTTGGACTCGATGATCTCTGGAGGTCCCTTCCAACCCCTACGATTCTGTGATTCTGTGATTCTGTGATTCATTTGCATATATAAGCGAATGAATGAAGGCATAAATTTCTGACCAGTTCTCTATTGAAAAGATGTAAATCTTAGTTATGAAAAGTATTCAGAAAATATTGTTTTCTTCTAGTTTTCAACATTCATTGCATCTGAGTGCTTGCATGATAAATGAGCTGCTGAAAACAAAAACAAAAACAACACAACAACAACAACAACACGAAAAAACAACTATCAATAAACTACTGCTCTGAGTTTTGTTCTTTAT